AAGTGTGACTTCCATAGATGGAGAGAGCAAATTATGCTAGTTATTGAAAATCATTCACATGAGGATTAATAGAACAATATTCTGGTTGCCGGAGAAACCACAGCCTGATGAAAACCCCCATGGTGGATGATTTCTGAAGTGAGGTTTCAGAGCATAAACTGTCATTTAGCTGGTCCCATTGCAAGAGCAGTGACTTCTGTCCCCTGCACAGTCCCGGGTCAGAGCCCCGTGGCATCTGTCGCCAGGCTCACTCAGCATGGCCAGGCCCCCTCTAATCTCCACGCCCGCCTCCCGGTCCCGACTGTGCCCCGGGGGTTGCTCAAGCACCAGGGCAGCTCCTCCAGTGACCTCGTTGAGAGCAAACACAGCTGAGATGGAGCTGGTGAGGGATGCACTCCTCCGCGGTGCGGTGGGGGGTCAGCTCAGTGCACAGTGCTTCCCGCCTGACTCCAGCCCAGAATTCAGTATGGCAGTGGCCGCAGTGCCTCGTGACACACGCAGAAATAAAGAGACTCTTCCTCTGCTGTCTCCCCTTCCTTCCTTCCTTCCTTCCCTCCTTCCTTCCTTCCTTCCACACAGAGGGTGCAGTGGCCTAAGACGACTGCGTTTCATTGTCACTGATGGATTACTTGATTTTCTCGGAGTCTTTCATAGTCTCCTCATGATTTCGAGAATAGGCCTACGTTCCAGCTAATCATTACCTGGCAAATGTCTGTAAACACAGCATTCAAAAGCTCAGCCTTGAAGAGGCCCACCAAAGAGACTGAGTTGCATGGTGCCTACGTTCAAGGTTGCTTCTGAGGATTCCTGTATGCTATCAACTACTGTACTTACAATTTGAAGATCATGAATTTCTACTTTTAGTAAGCCTTCAACAAATATTGCTGTCTGTACATAACTGTTCATGTAATATATATATATATCACATATATAATATATATAATATTATATATATAATTTTTTTTACTGGACACGTATTTCCTGGGACTGTGGGACACTGGTAGAAGACAGTCATTTCCCCTGGGGCAGAAATGCCTTTGGACCATCTCCACAGCAGTGCCAGGGCACCCTAGAGCTGTGATGGCTGCCGAAGGAGTGAAGATATGAACACAGCAATCTCAGCACAGAAATCCTGAGCACCCAGGCACAGCCCTGCACCACCACAGCGCGACAGCGCCCACCCTCTGCTCCCAGCAATGGCTGCTTCCCCGGAAGTACTAGGAAGAGACCAGAACCAAATGGAAAAATGACAGCTGCGCTCATCCAGGTCCTGGTGGGGCGGGTTACAAGCAATGAGTAAGACGTGTTCATGTGTACAATACACACAACTGTGTATTTGTTAGGACAAGTGAACAAAAACAGAGTGGGTAGCTGCAGAAGACAGAAGTCGTGGATGCACACAGAGTGTGAGACTCAGGCAGGGTGTCCAGGGGGAGCCCCGCACGAGGGGTGCTGTGAGAAATGTTCTGAAGGAAGAGGGAGGAGGCTCCCTTGGCACCCATTTCAGACTGAGGAAGGAGCGGGTGATGGAGGGAGGGAGAAGGGGCTGCCTGGGGCTCGTCGGGAGCCCACAGCATTGCTAGTGCACTATGCTCTGCACCCCACAGTGGGGGACAGGAGCGTGCAGGACACGCCCATGAGAGCTGCGTGTGACAATCCTGCCTAGCCAGGTGTAGACGAAAACGGGAGGTCAGGATCAGAGTCCAGAGCAACAGCCTGACCTGCCCCACCCAAGCAGGAAGCGAGGATGGGAAGGCCACTTTCCACAGGGCAGGGCGGGTTTGCTTCCCTCTCTCCCATGGCAACCCTGTTCCCGGGAGTTCATGGTTTATTTTCTCTCTCCTCTTAGCATAAATACAAGAGAATATTCCCCACTAGTATATTTTATTTGTTCTTTCACTGTTCCAAACTAAGGAAACTAAAACTATGGAAACAAAAATTATAGTTATAGAGGGATAAATACAGAACGAGCCTGGGTGGGTAGAAAAATCTTTCCTAATGGTGCATTTCAGAAAATGGCTTAGGCAGCCCCCGCCATTCTAGCAAGGTAGTGCACACACTCTGTGCCTGTGTCTGCATTCTTAGCTGCAGAAAAGGCTTGAGTCCTCACCTTCACAGCAGGACTCTAAAAACAAAACTACACATTTTAAAATGTGCCCTTCCATGTCTTTATGTCCAAGCCAAAGGGAAAGCAAGAGGGAATAGAAGCACTGAGTGTCCTTACAACAGACGGCACTTGATGAATTGCCCCACATTAACGAGACTGACTGTATGGAAACTTGGAAATATTATCATTATGTTTCAGGTATTTATTTCAAAGTAGAAAATATTGACTGCCCAAAGCAACAAAGGGCAAGGGAATAAACTGTTAGTAGTTGAATGGAGGGGAACTCTGAGCACATTTATTTCATAATGTCCTGCACTTATTTTTCCCAAGGGCCTTTAAGACAATGCATTCTATGGCTTGATTTCCCTGCATTCTAAATGCAGCTGTGTATTAAAGAGCTCTGGATCTAGTGTCCTGGCCCGTGTCGGGTGAGCAGTCACAGCTGCCGAGTCCCCAGGTCCTGCTGTCCATCACAGGGAGAGAGGTACAGCAATCAGCCAACAGCATGTGAGGGCATCTGTCCTTAGCGTCACACGGGGAGCAGCATCCAAAGAGCAAAGGACACCCAAGGCTGCGGCTCCTCACACTAGGGACGGTCCTGCACTGCTCTGGGATGGGCACCCGGCATCAGCATCAGTTACCGGTCTGCTCCGCCAGGCGTCCCTCAAACAGCACTGGGGGACGGAGCCTTTCACAGCAGAGACTCACCACAAGGGAAGGGAACCGACGTGGCCACGGCCACCCGTGTCACTCCCGAGGAGCCCCACAAAGCAAGGCCACGACCAACATGAGACTCACTCCTGAGGGGAGAAGCAAGCAGAGGCGAGATGCGAAGTGGCCATGCAGCAGCAGGAGCCTTGGTCCCAGCCCGCCAGGCCCTTTGCTGCGTGCTTGGGTCTCCTCGCTGGGGGGCTGCAGACCCACCGGAGACCAGAATTCATCCCACTTGTGTAAAGAACAAGGGACGCAATGAAGCCACAGCATTTCCCTCTGCGCAGACCAGGGCTCGAATGACAACGTCAGCAGCACCCACACAGCAGGGTCCCCCGCACATGAAGCACAGGAATGGCTTTCTCGCTCACACGGAGCACAGAGAGGAGCTGAAGGGGAAATCAGCCCCGTCAGGGCTCACCTGGGGCTCACGCCAACTGCACGGGCTCCCCGCCTCCCTACTTCTGCACGGAAAAGCTCCCAAGTGCGCCTTCCAGCTCGCTCACCCTTACCTTACTGCACACATGGACCCGAACAGGGGCTTCAGATGGTACCAGCTTTATCTGCATGACAATCTTGCAAACGAGTGGCTATTTTCATTTCACTAATGGGGAGACTTGGCCTCCAATAAGGTAGACACTTTCACAGCATCTGGGCGATTGCTATATGTGCTCAATGCTACATAACCTCTCCTAGGAAGCACAGAAGTTTGTGCTCTCAGTGACGCCTTCCACAGAAGCACGTGTTTCCATCCACCATGCGGCTGATCTTAGAAGGCTCAGTGTTTGAATCTGACGTCATACAAAACAGCTTAACACCTGGTGGAGACGAGACAGAACACTGTCTTGTGCAGAGTGAATGGCTGCTGTGTTACTGTGACTGTGATTATGAACCAGTGTGTCCAGATGCAGACAGATTAATACCCGCCTAGTGTCCCTCCAGCAGGTCCCACTGACCTGCGATTGGGCCTGGAATTGATTTAAGATAAGGGCATCTGCTTCCACAGGACCTTCAGATCATTGTGACCATAAAGCACAGTTTCCATGCTACTGTGAGCTGTAACTCCCACTCCACAGAGCATCCCAAAGCACAAGCCAGCAGTAACAAGATAATAAAACAGTGTTCACATGAAGGACCCTTTCTTGCTTCCCCGGCCACGCAGTAATTTCTATCCCGCTTTAGTCCACCTTCACTTGGAGCACAGGGGCCAAGATTCTCATGCAGAAATGGCAGCTGAGACCTTGATGGGGGGGTGGCCTTGAGACAAGATGTGCAGTCGGGGTTTGGGGGCCTCAGGCTGGGGCCACCTGTCTGCCCCCAAGCACCACAGGCAGGGCCCAGATGCCAGTGGGTACTGGCGCTAAGTCGAAAGAGTCCCTGAAATGGGGACACCGAGAGCAGGGCTGGGCCACACTGCTCGGGTGGTTTTCCCGGGCTGCATGGGAAAATGTGCCACAGGCGCGACCCATGCACCAGCTGGGCCACTCAGCAAACGCAGTTCGCTGACCCGGGGTCAGGTGCTGTCTTGCACCTTGCTCCTCAGGGCTGCGGGGACGGGGGCATTAAATATGCAGAGCCAAGCTGCCAGTGTACAGGGACCAGGGGGCAGGGTCCCAGGCAGAGGTGGCAGCAGGGGAGAAGGCAGCCCTGCAGGGCAGCGGCCTGAGAAGGAGTAGGGTGCAGGAGAAAGACCACACTGGAAGAGAGCAGCTGGGCCTTGAGACAGCACCTGCATCGTGAGTCGGTGGACAAGCATCCCCCAGCAAGGCTGTGCGGGGTCACACGCAGTCCCGGAGGGGACAGCTTGGCACGACGCAGAGCCAGGGAACAGCAGGGACCGGAAGGTCTTTCATTTGGGCAGTGGACGATGGAGGAGATTTTCACAGGTGCGGCACAGGCACCAGCCTGTGTATGGGGTGGGGTGTGCCAGAGCCAGGGCACAGGGCCAAGGCAGGGAGGCCTGCAAGTCCAGCAGGCGCTGGCCATGGGCAGAGCACAGATGCACATGGAGAATGGCCCACCGGTCCTACTTCCTGAGGCGCCTCCGGTCTGTGTGCCCCTGGCCCTGGCCCCAGAGGGACTGTGAAGGAGGGAAGCGAGCAGGAGGGGAGTAGTCTGCAGCCCGGCCCCGCTCTGCCTGCCCTCTGCGCAGCCCTCCCCCCGAGGAAGACCGCGCACTTACAGACAGAGTTCTTGTGGCTGCTGTCCTTGCTGGGCAGCATCTTGACTCCTCTCGACTTCAGCTCAATAGCCTTTTTCACTGGAAGAGAGAAAGCAGGCGTCAGGGGAGCCTGGAGACTACAGCCCACGCCTCCGCCCCTGAAACCCAGCCCTAGCACTTCCCAGCAGCCGAGCACAGAGGGTTTTGCCGGGTCAAGAGGCGAGCACGGAAGTAACAGCCCGGCAAGCAGCTAAAGGCAGGCTGCCTGCGGGCAGCTGGGTTGCGTCCACCACAGCGCCGGTGCGGGCGCCTGGAACGCCCAGACCTGAGCACATCGGGAACAGAAGGCACTGGCCACGGTCTTCTCCCCAGCCTGCGGGCACAGGGCTGTCCCCACCTGTCCACGGCAACCAAAGTTCCCTCAGATTTCTGTTCACAGAACCCTACACAGAAAGCAGGTTGCTTGCTCATTTACCCCATACTCAGTCAGGTGAAGCTTCACAGTTGCACACCTGGTGGCCGGTGTGTGTATGTGGGCCCTGCTCCAGCAGCCATGCATAAACCACGGGACACCCCAGATTCTCCAGCCCCTCTCTGCAGCCAAGCAGGGCGCAATCTGCCCTGGCTTCAGAGTCCGAGCTGAGCTCACAGAGCTGAGCAGCAGCTTCTCCGGCACCCAGGGGCTGTGCCCAGGACCCCCGCCCCGCCCTTTGAGCCCCGCTGGAGCTCACGCCTTCCTGCTGAGCACACGCCTCTCTGTGTCTGGGTTGGGGTCTGGATCTGTGTATCCTGGAGCAGCCGGGTGGGGCAGACGCACGTCACAGGGTCTGTGTCTCCCTGGTGTCGCTCCTGATGGGGCCCTGGGCCGCTCCTCTGCAGCCCTGGCGACTCCACCTGGCACTGAGCACCGGGCCTGCGCCCTCCTCCCAGCATTCCAGGCCCCCCCCACCCCACTCCCGAGAGCCCCCACCTGGGCCTCTGCCACCTGAGGAGAAGCACGTGGACCCCAGGGCAGGCTAGGTAAGACCCTCCAGGAGCAAAAGAGCTGACTGGCATCAGTTATAGGGAAAGGTCAGCCATGGACATGTGTGATTCACACCATTCAGGAGCGAGAGAGTGACAGGCTACAGCCCACCCTTTCCCACCTCTCGCCTGAAAAGCAGGATTGGAAACGTGAAGTCAAAAGCAGTCCCGTGACTGACTTGAAGGTTCTCTACTGTGTCCGGGGTTCCAGGGGAGAAACCTCCCTGATGCAGGGAAGCTGCACCTGAGGAGGTTTGTGGCGACCCTGTGCAGGGCACCCCACGGGCCGCACTGTCACCTGCCTGGAGCGTGGCCTGGCGTGACTGGGGGAGGTGCCCGCGGGTGGAGACCTGGCGGCTAGGACAGCAGGCGCTGTCTTCTCGGGTTATCATCAGAGCTCAGGATGCAGGGCCCTCAGATCAGGCGCCAAGTGGCAGGCTTTGCCAGTCTCCACTGGGGCCAGCTCACTCACTGTGCCCGCCCCGCCCCACCCCACAGCCAGTCAGCGAGGACCACATCCAAGGGTCCTTGCTGACAGACGCACACCCCACTCCCACGGAGACAGGAACACGAGAGCGAGAATCCCGTCTCCCTTGCGTTTGTCCTGTTGGGGCACATGGGGGCTCCCCTGGGCAAGGCCCCAGAATGATGCTTTAAGTTGAACTGGAAATGGATGGATGTGTGTCTCCCATCAGCCCTGGTTCCCTGTACCGAAATCACTGTGTCTCAGAGATACTCAGGGGAGGCCAGATGAATGCACAATAAACAAGAACAGGAGAATCAATAGGAGATAATGCAGAGCATAACACTCAAAGCAAATGGGGCCCAGCATACACAGGTAAAACAAACACAGCTCAAGTCGCTCAGAAACTGAAAGGGAAAGGCGGCGGAGCCCTCGGGGCCCCGGGGTATTGGAAACCCTGCGCCTACCTGACCATTTGATGAACTAATAAATTCCATGCTTTTGCAAGTAAGTATTTGATGTTCCGTGGAGCTAGAATTTCCCAAGGGAGGTTTTAATTTGCTTATTTTCCAATAAGATGCTACTCCTCCTTTGTGGACTGCCGATTCACCGCGTTCCGGCCTATTTCAGGCCCTCACACCCTCTCTTGCCCAACACTGCTTCCTTGCAGCGTGCCAGAGCAGGACAGTGACACTCAGCTCCTCGCCTGCCTCAGCATCCGTCCGCTTGGCTTCTGCCGGAGCCCTCTCCTCCTTCCCCCTCCTCTCTGCTTGTCCTTCTCCTCCTGCCTCCTCTTCTTCCCCCTCCTCTTCCTCTGCCGCTCCTTCCTTTCTCTCCTCTCCCACTGCTCAGGGCTGGCCGGAGAGAGTTCTGGCGGACCAGTCTCCCTAGACAGCGTGGGGAGCCGAGCTGAGCCGCAGATGCCCGGATTTGGCACCCTGCAGACCCCTCTGTCTCAGCCTGCCCTTTTAGACCCGGTCACAGACTCGAGCTTGGTGGCCTTCACAGTCCTGCAACGAATGATACAAACCCTCTCTTGATGACGCTAATTCTCAGGTTTAATCTCACATGCACCAGGTCAGAACCTCCAAGCTTCATTTATTTTCAGCACAACTAATGATCTTTTCTTTAAGTCTTGGATATGCTTCATTTTCTCAACAGCTGAGGCTCTTTCTTTCTCTCTCTTTCTCTCTGTCTTTCTTTCTGTCTGACTGTCTGTCTTTCCTGAAACGGAAGGCTCTGCGCTCTGTCTTTCTCTTCTTCCTTAATCGGTATATATTTGCAATACCCAGCAATCACAGCTGTTTGGCGAATCTGCACGACCATCTGTCCACAGCCATCGCAACCTGATCCTTTCTATCTCCTTCCCCACCCCACCTCTCTCCCCTTTCCTCTGGCTCCTCCTCATCTCCCTGGTCTCCTTGGTTTTGTTTTTGGGCGTAAGGAGGGATGTAACAGGTGTGAAGTTGGAGTCCGAGAAGCCGTGTCCCTTTGAGGCTAAAATGAGGTCTCAGAACTCAAACTCAACTTCAGTGGTTGGTGTGGTGGGGCTGGGGAGATGTTGAAATGTGTAACGAAGGACACAGAACTTCGGTTAGAAGTGTTGGCTTTAAGAGATCCACTGTGGGAAGGGACTACCGTTACTAGTGTGCTACTGGACGTGCTTGAAAGTAGCTACCGGGTTGAATGTATGCTTTCTTATCACAAACAGATACCAGATACGTAAGGTAAAAGGTAAAACAAAACAAAGGAAGCAAACAAAAAGCACCTGCGAATAGATATAATCAATCCCCTTTCCTGTAACAACATTTAGGATAGTGAGAATTTCTGAGGAAATATTTTGCTTTAAGGGTAGAAAATGCTGAAAAGTGCACCAATAAGTAGACATAAGGAACACTCTTCTTGTGCTTTATCACTTTTCCTTCCTCTAGCATGTCAGCTACTTCTGCTACAGTCTCTCAGGGATTAGATTCAACAGACTTTCTGTAGATGCCTTGAAAATGTGAGAAACTGCGGCTACACGGGATTGACGGAGATGCTCTTGCTGCTGTGTGCGCATCAGTAAGCGGCTGCAGCTGCTTCCCTCCCGGCGGAGCTTCCTCCCGGAGAGGACCCTGGCCTTCTCACAGGTCCTCACGGGCCTGAGTGCCCTTGGGGTGCTCCTGAGGACGCAGCCAGGGAAGGAGCCCACCTGCCCGCCCTGCACCGCCCGAGCCACAGGCCTCACTGTCCCTGAGCCTGCGTCTCCCGCAGTGGGAATCTCCAGGCCCTGCCGGTAAGAAAGCAAAGGCAAACTGTCTCAGGTGTATTTAATTGACTGAACAGGAAGACAGAAGCTACTGAGAAGCCTCACAAACAAAAGAGGAAACTGCTTCTACCACTGACAATTTAAAGTGAAATTCAGGATTTAAAATTAATGGATCAAAAGTATAATCATGTTTATTAGGCTTATTAACTAAGAGAATTGTCATAATTTTATGAAATCTTCTCTAGGTGAAAATTCTCTTTAAGTGATACATCAAAAGAACATTCATTCTTATTTATGATAATAACAGTGAAATCCTCGGAAATATGTAGAAATATAAGCATGATACATATATACGTACAAGAGCATGTGTGTATTTAAATACGTACTACAATATATATGAAATACGGGTATGCAACACATCTGAGTCTACTGTCTCTCTCATTGTCAGAAAGATCTTGTTCCACAAAAGTTCTTATTTTCCTTCCTTTTTGGGGGGGAGGGTCTCTCTTTGTAGTTTGGGCTGGCCTTTAACTCACAGTGATCCTCCTGCCTCAGCCTTTTGAGTACTGGGCTTACAGGCCTGCGTGTACTGTCTTTTTACATATCAAAGAAAATGTGATTTATTTAAAATTCCATTATTTGTTAATTTATTCTTGAATTAAGATAAATGGAATTTTCAGATATTGCTTATAGGTATTTTTGGAAAGATATGTTTCCTTTATTATCAGAAAATAGAAACTACATTTCTTCTGAATCATTCCAGACAGTCTTTTAATATTTTTCCTTTAAGGGAAAAATAAATGTGAAAATCATACACCTTGAGATACTGCGGTTGCTTATATCCCTTCATTTGCTAGATAGCTCATGCTTTTTTCTAGGGGCATGTACACCACAGTCTTAGGAATTCTTTCAGATATTAGTGTTGGGATTGCTTTTGAAGTCCTTGGGTGCTTCACTAGTAGATCCAACGACATGATTCCCAATCCTTTAATGTTTCTTGTTTATACAGTGGTCTATAGTGAAGAAGTTAGACACATCCAGGTCACTATATTGTAAACACATTCTTAATCCGTAAGAAAGCTATCATGGAAGGACTTCCACGACTGGATGATGTAAGAGGAAAGCCCTCCCCTCCGGCCCCGCTCCAAGGCCTCTGCAGAGGCTCACGTGAGCCCTACGCAGTGGCCTAAGACACACGCTCCTGGGTGTCCAGAGGAGGCTGGGAGGGACTGTGGGCTTCCCCTGCTCGGCACCTCTCGCTTCTCCTGGGCCTGGGCCTAATCTTCTCTTTTCTGCTTGATCAGTCCAGTTATTATATACAAACAAGGGGTCCATCCCCGCCTTTCTCAGTTAAGATAGGAGAGAAAAGGAGTAAAACAGGCAGAAAGGCTTGCAAACCGACAAGCAGAAGCCTTCCCTGTCTGCTCTCCTCAGCTGCTCCCTTCCCCTCTCTGCCCAGGGCCCAGGGAGGGAAGGTCCCCGGGGTCTCTTTCTCCTGCCCCCTCTCAGTCCTCTGTCTTCTCCACATTCTGGGGACACCTCAGCAAGGGCCAGAGGTGAGTCTGTCCTCAGCTCCCCCTCTGCGCCCAGCGGTGCAGTGGGCCACTTCCTCCTTCGGACACTTTCCACCCTTGGCCCAGACTCCACCCTGCCCATCTCTCCCTGGCTCCTGGGCCTCCAGGTTCACAAGGCCCAGTGGTGTCATCTGACCTGGCCCTGCCTCCCTGTCTCTGTCTCTCTCTCTCTCTTTTACTTTTTCATTTTGAGACAGGGTCTCGCTAAGTTGCCCAGGGTGGGCTTGAACTGTCCATCTTCCTGTATGATATAAACTTAAATAACTCTATATCAGTAAGTACATGTTACCGTAGTGCTAAATTTTTCAAATTCAGAATTTGATTAATCAACTCACATTTGCCTATGACAACTTTTAATAAGCTGGTATGTTATTTGCTTAAACTTAGGTTAATTATCTATTAATGCCAACTTCTCTATAGCAAACGTCATGCAGTAAATCACAGAGTGCTGGTCCTGTTTCCTTTATATGACACTTCTACTGCTGATTATAGTATTAGATAGGCACTCAAGGAAATCTGGGAAAATCCAAGTAATCAAGTCCAAATCAAAATTAACTGAACAAGCCCATCACCCGGAGACAGTTGGTGTTATGAATTCACCTACGTATTTCCAATCCTGTGTGCATTACAAGGACACGAGGTGGAGGCACACATAGGCGTTTTACAGAATAAAGAGTAAACTGTACAGGCATTTTGCGACTCCTTTGAGCACTTTTCCCTAAAGTAAGTCAGTGGACTGTGGTAATGCACTTACCGCTCCACAGGAGTTAGCTGCACGCAGCACTGAACACGGCTGAGCACACGCCTACACTCCGCTCAGGCTTGGAGTGACCTGCTCGGAGGGTCCACGGACCGCAGGACCAGCCCTCCGCCGGGTGCAGGACGCTGGGAACTGGGGCGCCCCGGCCAACTTCGGCTTTCAGTACACAGTGGGCAAAGCTGACTCTCTGCTACTTCACTTCATTTATATTTACAATAATTGTATGTTTGCTGGCCAATCCGCTATTACTGTCACAGTGTACACATGATCCTGTGGGGAGCCTGGCTGTTGCTTCGCAGGAGTCTGGGAGTAGTGCTGTCTTCTCCTTGGAGGGCAGCCTGCTCCAGCCCCCAGGCGAGTGCGGGCGTGGGTGTCCCCCCTCCGCTCCTCAGGAGATGTCACGATGGCCTTGAAGGGAACCTTAGCGAGACTCACAACCAAGTTGGGGGAACTCAGTGATCAAATGTCACCCACGTGTGTGCACCAGGCAGTGTCCTTGCTAAGCCGTGGACGCCTTCCTTGCCCTGTTCTGCATGGTGTGGTACGTGATCTCGTTACCTGAGTCCTGGGCCAGACTCGGGGTCCCAGCAAATCAGATCTGGCCACTTACCCCCAAGAGCAGACAGAAAGAATAGCTGTGAAGCAGGAAGGGAATTTAATCAGTGCAGCTACCCTGGGCGGAGGGTGGGAGCTGGGAGTTGTCGCCCTCTCTTCAGGGATACTGGGGTGAGCTTCCGGTTTCCATGAGGAGGGGCTGGGCACAGGGACAGGAGGGTGCATAATCACTCATCTCGGGGGAGCTGTGGTGACCCCAGCTGCAGCGCTTGGGCTGGTCCTCTGGGGGTATCTACTAGCCCGGATGACCAACGGCTCCTGCTCTGGACAGCCTCAGCACCCTCCTGGCGTGGCCACTCAGGGAGGGTAACCCCATCTTGGGCGTCCTTGAGGGTCTTCTGTTCCTGGAATCCTCCGAGGTGACTGCAGCTTTGGGGCAGTGACTGATGGCCTAGGGGTGCTGCTCCAGGTCCAGAGCCACTGCCGATGACGCCAGTCCCCAGCACCTAGTCTGCAGTTCTCAGAGTCAGCAGCTTTGCTCCCACTGTTGCTAACTTTCTTCCACCGGGTGGGCAGAGCTAAGTCCTGGCGAGGGGATCGGCAGTTTCATACAGGCGTCCAGTGCTGCAAAGGCTGCGTCCCCGACGTCCAGAGAGCTCCGCCCCTGGCCCACTTCCAAAATTTTCTGAAATCCTGGGCCTTAAACTTCTTTATTTCTTTTTAAAATTAGCTGTGTCATTTCGTCTTGTTTTGTTCCATCGTCTACTAGAGGCAGAGCTGGAGTTTGGGTTGCAATCCCCTCTCCCCCAGGTCTGGGTGGCTGGGGCAGGGCAGGCCCTGCGTCCCGAACTCTGGCACCGCAGGAGCACGGAGGCGGCGGGACGACACCTCTGTGGCCTTTGCTCTGTACTAACCAGGGCGATGCCGGCCGCGGCTCCGCGCAGCGCTGGCTCTCGTGTGCACGCTGCCGACGCACCCCACGCCTTCCTGTGGACGTGCAGACGTGCCCTCGTCAGCACCAGCACGCGTGCGCCGCCGGCCGGCTCAGGCGCATGCGCTGCCACGCTGACTCTGTCCTGCTACTGCGGCCCGCGCCGCTTCTACTTAGAACCCGCACCGGGAGACAGGAGCCCAGGGCCCGGCCACAGCCCCGCCGCCCTTGTTCACCGCGGCTGCTGTGCTTCAGACCCGGCCACTGCGCCTGTGCCAGCTTAGCTCGTGCGTCGCACTCCGTGTTGCGCACACCGGATGGAAACTCTGGCAAGGCGTGGTCATCGTGTCCCCATCACTGCGTAGTGCGGGTTCATACCACGTGACAGGCTTTGGGAAACCTGACTCCAGGGACCCCCGAAAAGTAAAAGGACAGTGCGCCCCTTCCCAGAGACGGCGATGAATTGGAGACTCTGAGAACACAGTGCAGACCTAGGCCACGCAGCAAGGCCGACGAACGGCATCTCATCTTGGGCGTCATCCTGCAGGACGCCAGGGCCTCGCCGAGACTCGGGTGCACTGAAGACGCAGGACTGACCTCGCTCCTGGAGCATTTCCAGGGTTACGGTTACAGAAGCCAGGAGCCTCCTGACTGGAAAGCCTCCTGCTCCCGCAGCGTGGGCCTGAGGTTCAGCTGCGGGCCTCAGAGGCGTCCTGGCTCTCATTAGACTGTCACTCGGTGGGTGAGCCAGGTCCTCACCTGTTTGATGGAGATCATCACCACCTGCCTCACTGCCTCACGGCTCCTGGGGACTGAGAGGCAACGGACAAGACTCCTGGCCGTCTCAGCGAGGTCTGCGCAGTGCTCCGGGAAGCTCTGCGGAGGGGAAGGGCTTTCCCACGTCGGGCTCCTGCTGCATGGAGCGGATTGTGGAGGCTCCTTGGTCAGCGGCTCCCGGCAAGCTTCACCCCATTCAGCAGGCTGGGGAGAAAACGCATCTCCGAGAGGGGTTCACGAGGGGTTCAGGAGGGGTCATCCCGTGTCCAACAGAAATGGGCAGATTTAGGGTGCCTGTCGTGCAGCAGATCGGTGAAGTCTGAGGAAGAGGAAAGGTCAGGAAGGGGACAGGGGCCTCGGGTGAGCTGGAACTGGTGCCTCTGCTCTGTGGTGAGGGGCAGGAAGGGCAGCTGTGCGGGACCCCGGAGGACGCTGCCTGAGCCCTAGCGGGGATCCCCTCCTCTCAGCCCTACAGCAGCTGGTGACAGCCCGCTAACACAGAGCTTCTCCTCTGCACGCAGCCCCTCGGGTCCCTCCCAGTGCCCACGCGGGCGGGCTGACCTCCCAGCAGGGGTGAAGGTCGCAGCGGGCAGCCCCAGTCTTTACTGTCCATGAAAAGAATAACAGTGCATCTGCCTCCCATGACCCACGGAGAGCTCACAGGCCCCCCGGCGCTAGGCATGCAAACCCAGCCTGGGAGCTTTATTTCCCCGGGCGAGATTGTCAGGCCTTTGCACCCCACGCTGCTCCAAGCCCTCCTGGAGATGTAAACAGCTAACGCTTTGCCTTCAGAATCCCAGGAGGACCCAGCGCTGGAAATATCTACTTCTTTCCCAGCCTCCAAGCTCCAAGCGATGTCCACGCAATGAGCTCTCATCTGTGATGCGCTCGTTTTTCTTTTCTGGTCATCAGCATGGACCCTGGGACTGGAGAGGTATAGGTTGGGGTGGAGCAAGCGGGGGCGCGGGGCCAGGGCTCCATGCACCCCTAGGTGCTCAGGCGGACCACCCCGGGCCGCGACAGGGCAGTCCCTCTGCAGGGCTGGCCTCACTGGCACTGGACGCTTGCTGTTCTCCACCCCACAGTACGGAGTCAGGTGTTCGCCAAGGATTTTCTGATTTCTACATTCCAATGATGTCTTCAGCTTTAACTGGATTCCTCCTCCCCGTATTTTCTTTAATTATTCTTATTTTGTAAAAAGCATTATTTTTACTAATGCCCCCTCTCTAGCACTTTTGGAAAAGCTTCATTAATTTCATTAAATGACATATTAAACCAAAATTAATGGGGTGAGAAAAAAGGAAAAGAACTGTACATTTTTTTTACAGGAGAATAATAAAATTTCTCCCTGAATGTGCGAGCATCAGAAGCTGTTTTGGGAAATTAATTACAGGGCATATTCTTAGGGGAGAAACAGGAAGAGCTAAAGGTGTTGGCACTCTTGTGCACAGTGGGTGGGAGGTGAAATGGCACAGCTGTTCTGGAAAATGGCGTGGAGATTTCTGAGAAAGTAAAAGCAGGATTTCCAAAAGCCCCCACAGTGCCGCTCCTGATGAAGAGATCAGTGGCCACTCGCTAGGGAGCCCTCCCGGAAATCCAAGTGCTGTTCTTACTTCCATGAACCTCTCCTCCACTCCTTTGGTTCTGACTTCATTCCTGGCATTGTGAGACCAGGAGCTCTGCACAGCGGATGTCCAGCAGGCTGGGAGTGACATTTCCCATCACAATGCAGTGGGAATGTACCTCAAGGACACCACACTAGATGAGCTCAGCCAGGTGCATGGAACCAGCTCTGTGCTTCCCGGGAGAGGGCGCTGGGTGGGAGGGCGCAGTGGCCGATCAGTCAGCACTCAGAGTGCCACTGAGGACAGACCAAGGGAGAAGAGGTGGAAGACAGCAGTCTTGGTGTGCTTACTCCACTGAGCCAGCTTGGAGGGCTGTCAAGCTGTGAGCACTGCACTGCGATGACAGGATTAAACATTCAGGAGGCTCCACTTCCATCTTGGAGAACCGGCGTGGACACAGGCTTGCTGTGTCTTCACCATGCATCACAACATGGGCCTGGCTGCAGCAGAGACAGCGGCACAAGGCTGGCTGCTCTCAGGCCAGGGTTACAACTTCAGTCAAAACAGAAAGGAGGAGAGCCAGTTCCCGTAACCCTGCACAGGGAAAGGGTCTTGATACGCAGCCTTCACCGGCAGCCCATCCATCAATGCCCGTCCCGGAGTCCCGAGCTTGGCCCGCTGAGTCCCCTCATTTCTCCAAGCTTGTGAACTCTAAACGTCAGGCAGCACAGCTGTGTCCACCTACTTCCAGTTGGGACACCTGCTGTTAGAATATTAATAAGGCTAATGTGGAATGTGATGCACCTGTCCCCGAGGGGCTCTGCAAATCAGCGTGCAAACCTTCCGAGTAGGAGCATTTCATCCATGGCATGTGGACCCTGCGGAGGGAGACGCTGTCTCCTGTGGCCTCTGGAGTGAGAGCTGAAGATCCATACTCCAGCCTTGGTGAGGTTGCCCGTGGTAAACTGAGGACCAGCAGTGCTTCTGAGAACGGCCCTAGTGTCTGCTACGAGCCTAAACCGGCCTGTGCCTGCAGGGCCCAGGACTCTACAGTGCCTGCTGCAACTCACCTGTTCCACTGCGGTGGAAACAACAGGTGCCTCACCCTCAGGGCAGTGGGGGACTGCAGGGAGGAGCTGAGGCCCCTCACTCCCACCAGGCTTTCCCAGCCGCCTCACCGCAGCCAGGGGTGCAAGCGTGGCAGCTGCACCCTGAAACCCCCAGCCCGCTCGCCTACAGACTGGTTCTCAGCCGGTGGTTCTGTCCCGTTTGCAATTGCAAGACAAGACACAGGCGCTCAGCACGGAGCTTCAGATTCCCCATCCCCTGGAAGTGGGTCCACCGGAGAGGAGGACACTGTGACTCCCCACATGTGGGTGTGGCTGTGCACCAGGACAGCTCAGAGGTGAGCAGACACCTCCACCGAGTGGACCTCTGCATACGGTCCCCTACACAGCCCTTTCTCTTATAGAAAAACAGCACACTGCTACCTGTTAGGGTCTCGGGCTCCTAGAAAATTCACTCCGTGGGCTGCTTAGCTCGTGCTGACCACAGCAGACAGGGAAAGCCTCGGTCTTCAGAGGAGCAATGCTTCCAATGGACTCCTGCCTCCTCTCCTGGGCCCAGGCCCATGCCCAGTCGCCCTCCGTAGGCTGATCCTGCTCTTCCGGGGTGCCAGGGTTGTGCTGAGCTCGGCACCTGTGGGGAGGCACAGTGGCCCCTGGCGCCCTGCCCTGTGTGCCCTGCTCTCTGCTGCTCTTCTCAGAGACCCGCCCTCCTGTCTTCTGCACTCTCCCCGAGGCATGGGCCTATTCTGTTTCCCAGGGTCCCTGTCACTCAAAGCTCTTAACCAGACAGTGTGACAACTTCAAAAACAACACAATTCATATCATGCCAGGTATTCAGAAAAATATCCCCAAAGCGATCAGAGACAGTGCTTTTAACCATTACAAATAGAATAATTTACTACTTTCAAGTCCCATTTCTTGGCCAAAGTTGCTCCTTTTAGACTCTTTTTAGTGTGGGAAATTCTGGATGACAGTGTACGGAACCCGTCAGAGCCCTCACTCAGTGCATTACTAGGCTAGCTAGTCTTCTTCCTTCCTGACCAAGGTTACCTGAAGCACGCCCTACTCTGTAAGGCTGCAAACCCATAAATATTTCAGCATGCATGTCGAGAAGCTGAAGACTTAAAATGAGTAACCACAAAACCATGGTCGTGTGTAAGCATACAGCTATCCCTTGATATCTCTTAACAAATGTCCCCTAATGTCCAGAAGTGATTACATTTTTTCTCTTTCGTATTTTTGTTCACTTCATTTTTGAGACAGGCTCTCACTATGTCTCCCAGGCTGTTCCCAAAGTCCTGAGCTTGGGGGACACCCCCGTCTCAGCGTCCTGAGAAGCCCTGGCTGTCGGCACACTCACCCACTCTGGTCTCACTGTGAAATGTACCCCAATTATCGAGAGTTCAGATAAGCCTCGGGGACTCTCCTTAGACACTGCGTAGCCCCGGTTTTCATTTCTACCTTTCCCTTCCACTCTACAACTGTTTATTGAACAAACTGGGCTCCATGCTTCACAGAATCCTACAGCTCAGTACTAAGTGCGGATTCTGCCACCTCACACCTACAGACCCTTCAGCAAAGCATTTAGGGTTTCCTATTAAAGTAGTGCAGAAAGTCCTGGTGCTCACG